CAGCAGAGAAAACTGGCTCTCTAGATGCTGTCTAGAAGTTGCAATTATAGATGGCTCTTTTATTTTTATTTTTTGCAAATGGCAGCCTCCAGTCCTCTGTTACAGGGTGCAGGTAGAGGCTACTTTCACAGAAGTTGTTGCATAAATCGACAGCACAAACCGCAGATTATCAGCTGCCCCCATGCTTGCTGTCTGAAATGGTACAACCCAGCAAAGGTTGCTTTGGTCAGTGCAGGTTAGACTCACTAAACTCAGTAGCATTCCCTTACGCACATAATAATGAGTCATCCTATTGTGAGGCCATCTGTTTTGACTCAGCAAAATATTTAACACTTGTATATCAACATCATCGTCTACATTTATACCCTGGCTTTCTTCCTCTTGTAAAGAACCCAAGGGGCTTACAAAAGTCTCTCCATTTTATCCTCATAACAACCCTGTGAGGTAGTTTAGGCTGAGGCCTGTGAGCTCCCATTCTGAGCGGGGACTAGAGCCCGGCTCTTCCAAGCCCCAGTCCCGCACTCTTAACCCACTACGCCACACTGACTCTCAGCCTGGGACACCTCCACCTCTCAGGTGCCCTTTCCCTTTGCTTGAAAGGCAGATCTGGCTGCCCAGAAACCTGAACGCTGCTCCACAAGTCCCCTGGACTGAACAAGGATGCCCCTATCCCGGGATGGGAGGCCATGGCTCCTCCTCACTGAAAAGGAAATTCGTTCATTCCCATTTCCTTTGGCCATCAGGCAGAATAACCGGGCTGGAAAGGGGGTCTGTCTGGGGCATCAAAGAACGGTTGTCACTCAAGACTTGACAATACCAAGCAGATACGGGTCTGTTTCTCCCACAAAGCACAAGCCTTCTTCTTCTCATCCTCCTCCTCAACTATCCATCACTACTCCCGAGATACTGAGGCATGCGGTGACGGCATCGAAGTTTTAAATAAATAAATAATAATAAATAAATACACTGAGTTGCCTTCCTTGCTCCTATCAATACCGACGCATTTAAATATGTTGTCCAGAGCATGGCCTGAAGGCACGGAAACGATCCACCATGTTGATCCACATGGAGCCACATTCCCTCCGGCAATGGGGGCAAAAAGGTGGGATGCCAATAGAATAAATACCTTAAGAACAATCGACATGGTAATGACAAGTCTCCCCCCTCCCCTCGGTGCATTTCTCAGTGAGACTGGGGCGAAGAGTGCTGGCTGGTTGTAAACCGGCCAGCCCTTGCTTTAAGCTCACTACATCGAAATTAAACTTGGAAGTTTCTTCGAGGTCCCGCGCATCCAGGCCAGGGAAAGCGCTCAGCTACTACAGACCCAGAGAGCGGGTCTCCTCTGCGAAGTACAGGCGCAATTCAGGGGGAAAAGGCGACGCACAGAGAATCCAGTCCATCTTCCGCCCACCTGCCCATCCTCCCTCCACTGGGGAGCCCGAGTCGAAGGAATGGCTCTCGCGCAGGGCCTCCCTTTCGAAGGACGGGCAGTGGGGAGACGCGGACGAGAAGTCCCCCCAAACAAACTAGCTCGATACAAGCACAGGGCGAAGCGGGACCCGGGGCGCAATACCTCGCACGCTGAGTCGGGGCTGCGGGGCAGAGTCCTACGACTCTCACCTGCAGGTTGTAGAGCTTTCCAAACACGCGCCCTCGCAGGATTAAAGTTACCTCTGCGCAAGCGCCTCTTCCGAAGTCCAGGAACCACCGTATTTCGGCCCCTTCCCATTCCCCTCCCCAGGATTACGCGCCTGTCCCGGCGCCGCCGGCGGGCGGCGTTCCGCCTGGAAGAAGCGGCGGAGCGCGGAGCCCCCGCTTGCCCGCAGCCGCGCAGCCTTTGCGCGGCCCGGCCCTCTCCGCCAAGCGGAGCCCGTCTCCGCCCGGGCGCCCTGCGCGTCCCTCCCTGCGCGTCCCGCTCGTTTCTCATGAAGCAGCTGCGCGGATCGCGCGCGGGCAGAGCGCTGCGCTTAGGCGAGGCTTGCGCTGCCGCGCCCGCCTCGGCGGAGGGGAAGCGAAGCGCAGGGCGAGCTCACGCCGCGGGGCCTCGCCGACCGGCTCACCTGCACCGCGCGCGCCGCCGCGGGCCGTGCGCTCCTGCTGCGCCGCGCCTCGTGCTCCCGCTTCGACGCCGGGGCGCCTCCCCTCGGCCCGCGAGCGAATCCGGAGCAGCCAGGCGCCTTCCCCGAGCCCAAGGCTGCCGGGGTCTCGCGATGCTTAAGCAGGCCCTTGCGAATGACTCTGCCAAAGCCCTGGGGAAGCGGGGCCCCTCCTGGAGTTCCCCTCGCCACCTTTGCGCTGGGAGGGGAGCCTGCATTTGCCCAAAGGAACAGCAAGTTTGCAGCATTTCCCAGCTCTCCTTTCCATGTGTTGAGCCGTTTGATGGGTGCTACTAGTAAAGTTATACATACATACATACATACATATGCGCGTGTGTGTTAAACTAAAAAGTTCACTCTCACAGATGTTGGTAAAGGGTCACAGCAGTGCTATTCACCCAATATTCCCGTCTCCACATTGCTTATTTTAAAAGCGGTAGCTATGATCCGGAAGAGAAGACGGTGCAGTTGAAAGCAATTATCTTTCAGAGGGTAGTAAATTTGGCCAATTTCTCATGCTGTGGTACGGACAATACTTTGTTACCCCAGCAGCTTGAATTTAGTATATATTGTCACTGCCCTCAAAATATATCCTCGGTGCTTTATTTATGATCGCTAGGCAAATAGGTTCCGTAGGACTTTCATAAACCTGCAAAACCTGTTTTCTCACAGATCCTGGATGGGGGAGGGGGAGGAGCCTGGGCACTGTAAAAAATCCTTTTAGCAAGACTTCAGCTCTCTATACCAAGGACAGCTTGCAGCAATCAGGAAAATTAAGGGGGGAAGTTGTCTGCACAGCTCATACCTCAAGCATATAAGATATTTATACAAAGGACTGCATATAAAAGCTTTCAATAATAATAAATAAATAAATGTGGTCTGCAGGAGGGAAAGCATCTGGTGGGAAGCGATCTTGGACTTCAACCTCTTCTGCAACGATCAGAATCATAGCTTGGGAATGCCTCTTGTTGCAGTGTGCCCATCCTCAGTTTTCCTGGGTGGCAAAGACTGTGCTTGCACAGAGACTGTTGGCTTGCCAGCTGCCACCCCCCCCCCCCCCCCCCCCCCTTTTTTTTTTGCCCACCCCCCCCCCCCCGGGGGGGGGGGATTTTCACTGTGGCACTGCCGAGTGACTAAAAGCTATAAAAAGTGTCGGAGGCGGCTGCCACACGGCTTACCTGTGCATGGGGTTGGCATCATTTGGCTCCCACCCTGAATGGCTCGCATGGCTTGCCGATGACTTTCGAAGCTCAGCTCTAGCTGTGGGCTTTAGCCTGTGAAGTCCCCAGTGCCCTCCCGGCACGGCACACGATGGACTTGCCCAAGTGCCAAACTGCGGGAGGAACCCATGCGTTTGTTGGGTGCACGGGAAGGGGCATTCTCCTGCACTGCTCCTTACTATGAGATGTGCTCCCTCAGGATTTAGGATCCCCCGCCCCCAGCTTTTAGAGACAGTATAAAGATCTATCTTTTCAATTCAGTCTTTTACAATGTGCATTAAAATGCCCCTATTGCAGGATTTTTTTTCTTGATGTCTTTTTGACAAATAAGCCAGTATTCAAATGTTAGAAATGGATGAAATGATCCTGCATGGCATTTCTTCTGTTCTTAAAGCAGGCCCTCTAGAGTCCCTGCGTAGGACCTTTTGGAGAGAGAAAGCACAGTATCTTCTGTCAAAGCACTTCGGGCTCTCATTGCTGCAGCCTAACGAATGTAGAGTCTTTCATGTGACTCTGAACACGTGTCCTCCTGGTTTTGGGATTCCCAGATTTCCTGACAATACCTAAAAGCATCATACAGAAGCTAAAACGATTGTTCATCATTTAGGGGTTGCGAAACCCACCCCTGCCAAAACTCCGTCTCCTGTGCAAGTACTAAAACTCCACCCACAGGCAGGTGGCAGATTGCAGCGCCAAACACACCAGAGGCTGCAGCTTTGCTAAAAGGGTGAGGCAGGCAACCCTAGGATGGACTTCAAAGCAGGGGCCTAGATTGCCACTGGACGGCTCATCAGACTGATCCAACAGGGCGATCCTTAGAGAATCGTAGACTAGGCTGACGCCGCTTCAATCCAGGAAGGCCCCTCCTGCGTTCTCAAGCAAGAAGGTGCATGGAGAGACACAGAGTAAGCATGTCAGACAGATGTTAGAGATTCGGGATATGCTGACCTGCTTGGTAAATGTCAGCCCCATTGGAGAATCATGGGGATTCCAGCAAAGAAAGACACACTGAAAATAGCACAAGAGTGAACTTGGCCATCTAGATAAAGCGGGGGAAAGGGAAGTGGGGGAAAGGAGTCTGGCATAGGAAGTTGTCCCCGCCTCTTCGCTCCGTGCCCCTGGGCCCCCTTCTGCCCCTTCCCAAGGGACATGGGTCTTTCCACGGTGGCTGCTTGGCCAGTGCAGGCTATACACCCTGGTCAGAGGACCTTGGGGCTGGGTGCTGAAGGATCCTATGCCCCTCCTGACCGTACTGAGAGGCCATAGGATTGTGGCCTTGAAGATCTGATGAGCTCTATAACTCAGCAGGAGAGAATATTAAATCAGAGCCCTGGAAGTACATTTCGTGGCACCCAGAGAAACTGTGCCGTATGTTATATTAAAGGTTTTTGTCCCTTTGGGCTTTGCCATTTCATTTTTGCATTGACTGATGCAGCCCTCCAGCTGCCTGGAACTGTATTTTTACAGGTGCCAATGAGCCATCTGGCATTCCAAAGGATGCGCCTCAGAATCCCTTGGAATATGGCGGAGAACGCTGGGGAACGTCTCCTGCGTTGTCAAGGAGGCCGCTTGCCCAAGTCAGGCATCTTGGACAGGAGGTGGCTCAAACGTCATGTTCCAGACTTAAGTTTTGCCCTTAAATTTTCACTTAAGTGAAAATGACGAACAACAGAGCTCCTGGGGGTTTGCAAGAACGAATGTAATGAAAACGGACAATGCATCTATTTGTGTCAAACAAACAACAGCAGGGGAAACAGCTTCTTCAGTTTGCCAAACTATTTTATGTGGGTGAGAGAAAGAAATGAAGAGGCTCAAAGATTACAATCTATGGAGATGATGGGCCATTTCACACAGAGGAAAACTCAAACAGGTACACTCCAAGGTGAGCAGTAGCCAATCGTGCCTCTCCGACACGTGTGGGCTGGAGTGACACGCTGCATGTAGGGGGCACACATGGAACATCTCGGACGTGCCCCCCCAACCCACGAAAGCAATGCACACAGTGTCCCCAGGACCTTTTCCCTTGGTGAATGCACTCATGTCTTCTCAAGGAGCCGGATTCAGAGAAGTCCTGAGCGCAATATGCACAAGATTAGGGTTTCTCTCCGGTGTGGATCCGCTGGTGCCGATGCGGCGCAGTCAGGCGCGTGACCGTCCCACCACATTCTTCACAATAGAAGGGACGCTCCCTAGCATGGATTTTCTGGTGCCTTTTCAGCCTCATCAGCTCAATAAAGGCTTTCCCACACTCTGGGCACTTGTAGGGCTTGTCTTCCTGATGAATCACCTTGTGTTTTAACAGCAAGTAAGCTGTGCGGAAAGCCTTATCACAGATGGGGCATAAATAAGGCTTCGGTTGCTCCGTTTCTGGCTCTTGCAGGCAAATCGGGGGGGCGACACCCCCACTGCTTTGGTTCTGATGCACAAACGACGCTGCAGGCAGAGCCTCGAGACGCTTCGAATGTTCTATTCTGTGCACGTTCCGAAGATGCCTCCAGAGGTCAACTTTATGAACGAAGCCCTTGTCACACTCTGGACACCTGTAGGGCCTGTCACTCACGTGGATGAGTTGGTGCACCCTGAAGTTAGCTGTATGGAAGAACTCTTTGCTGCAGAGAGGACACCTGTAAGAGCGCTCGGCCACGTGGTCCTTCTGCTGTCCTAGCGTCCTACCGTAACTGTGGGGCATTTCTCCACATTCCTTGCAATGGTGAGACGGGACAACCCCAGGGGTGGGCACCAGGTCCTCCTCGTCTAGAGAGCCAGCAATGGTGAAGTCATCACAACTCTCGCTTATCTTTCCCCAAGATCCTTTCGCGTGCTCAGCTGAATGGAGCGCTGAGTCTTCATCCTCACACTGTGGGCCGAAGTTAGTGCTGGGAGTGATGAAGATGTCACCAGTGGCCGAGTCACTCCATTGATGGCAGAGGCCATGACTCGCCTTGTCTTCCCAGTGCAGTTTCGCAGGGAGCTCCTGCTCTCCTGGAGGTCTATCAGGGCTGTCGTCAGAGCTGGGAGGCAGAGAGAGGCCTTCCTCCACTTCTCGCTGGATGCTGGCTTTCCCAACACCCCATTCAGAAATACAGTGGGAGTCGGCATCTTCTCTGGAGCTGCAAGTGTCATCGTCAGACTCCCAGTTCACTTCCACATCCATCCTTCAGAATGCCGACATACGCTAAACCTCCAGGTTGGCCATCAATTCATGTTTCTACCACTGTACCTTGGGCTCATATTTTAGTGCATGTGTCTACAGCTGCATCTTCGTGAAGGTCCTTTCTGTATCTCGCGTTCTAATCATGCTTGCTCCTAGAAAGAAAAGATATGCTTTGTTTAAACAGGCCAAGGAAGCCTCCCTTTCTCAGAGCTCATTCTTGGTACTAGGACTATCAGAAAATGCCTTCTGCTCAGACTATGGAGCATGTTTCTCCAAGGCAGCTGAGTGGCAGCCCCTGGACTTTGCTCACAGAAGGTCCAAGCTTCCGCTCCTGACAACTCCAGGTAAGAAAAGACCAGCCAGCGGGTGATCTGAAAGACCCCTGCCGGAGACCCAGGAGAAAGGCTGCCCATCCAGAGTCCAGGGCAGCATCAATAAATGGTCTGACCATTTACAGAAAATTCATATAAGCCATCAGTTTATAAGTACTGTCAAGAAATGGTGAATGAAGGTTTGCTGGAGGGCGAGGGAACAATCAGGAGAACATGTACTGTTTATTCAGACATGCAGGAAATGCACGCAGCATGTAGGTAGTCCCCAAACGGAGTAGCAAGATGGAGCTGGTCCAGGATGGTTTCACAACCTGAATTTGGTCTGCTGAGAGAAGAAGAGAGAACTAAGAGTCACGGGAGCAGCGGGCAGGAGGTCTCGTTAAGTGCTTTGCTTGGAAGAGGTGGGGATGGAGGCAGTTTGCCGGAGGCACATGAGAGTAAAACAAAAGGGCTGGATGGATAACTTTCAGGATAGGCGAACACTAGCCTGCCCCAGGTGTATCTGAGGGACAAGACTTGCAACAAGGTTTGCTGCTCAGGGCGGGATTCCAACCTAAGGCTGAAATTCGCTCAGCAGCCATATACTGGCAGAGCTTCTGGTCGATTTGCCCCAACAGTTTTATGAAGCACCTCTCTGTTAGTTCATATGGAAACAAGGCAAACATGCATCGCTGCTGTTAAAATTATGAACGACTTCCTGCATGATGCATTCATCATAATTTATCTTCTGCAAAATGTTTGCAATTTGTCTTCCCGCCTGGGCCAGTCCTTGCTTTATCAGAGCTAAACAGGTGGACAGGGGCAGAGGGGGAGCTGTCCAGGCCACAGTGCCAGGTCCAGGATTTTGGGGTAAGGTGTTCTCCAGGTCCACCCTGTCCTGTTGCCGCTACCCATTTGTCCGACCCAGCTGTTGCCACCAGCTCTCCTGGAAGGGTCGGGCAGCGGGCGGCAACGGTTCCTGCTCCACGCTCCTTGCTTGAAAAGGGCAGGGGGCATCGGAGGCCTGCAACACAGAGAGGCTGCAGACCCCAGACCCTTTGTCATCCTTGATGCTATCTGGATACATTTGCAAAAACTAACCACTTGCGTGGGGAGAAGGGAAGGGGCAGCCAGAGGAGGGGCTGAAGAAGCCCCTTGGCTCACAAGTCCGAACCCATTTCTCACCTTCCATTCTGAGAGCCAAACGTGAAAGGTGTGACTCGCAGCTGGGCATTCCCTCCTCCATTGGCTCTGAAGGGGTACAGGGCCCCAATTCGGGCTGGGATCTTACTCTCTCTTTCGGGGCTCCTGTGGATACTCTAGAGTAAATTTAACTAAGGGGGGAGAGGGAGGGGGGAGGGAGAGCTGCTAGCTACTCATTTAAAGCCCTGTCTGATTGGGTCCGGCGAGGGAAGGACTAAGGCACGGGGCGACGGAAGAGCAGCATCTCGGGCCCCGTCCTCGCCTTGGCTACTCGCAGCTGGGCCCTACACCGCCCGGCTGGAAGGAGGCGGGCGGCACACAGGGCGCCCCGGGGGCTTCGGGGCCCTCCGGCCGCGCCGCTGGCTCTGCGGGGGAGTCGGGGCCGCCCCCTCCCCGCGCCCCGCTTGGGCTCTGCGCATGGGCAGGCGCACCGCGCCCGAGGGGGCGGGCGGGCGGGCCGGCCGGCCCGGGGATGCGTTACCCGCTCCTCCTCGTCCTCGCAGCGCCAGCTGTGCCCGGGAAGGGGCCCCGCGGCGCAGCGCTTCTTTCCCCCGGTCGCCGCGGACAGCAGCGCTGGGGCCGCCTGCCCGCCCGGGCCCACGAAAGCCGCGCCCGCCCACGCTCACGCCCCGCCCTCCCGGGGTGATGGACGCGGCGAGCGCCAATCCCGCGGCCCGCCCGCGGCCCGCCCCTCCCGCCGCGCCCTGCGCCCGCCCTCCAAGATGGACGGCTTGCCCCGCCCCCCCCGTCCTGGCTGCGGAGCTGCGCGTCCTCGCGCGCCGACCCCCCGGGACGGGGCTGCAGCGCCACGGAAGGCAGATGTGCTTGTTCCGGAGCATTGCACCTCACCACCGAAAATGCAGGGGGAGGGGGAGGTCTGAGAAGGGGAAACTGAGGAAAGCAAGGGGGCGCAGGATAACATTCCCCATGAATCTAACGCCCTGCCATTCGGATAGTCCGGCCCATGGCGCCCTCCGGATGTGCCAGACCACCACTGCCTGGGAGCTGTACTCCACCACATCTGGAGGGCGCCAGGTTGGGGAAGGCCGTGTGCGTGTACTGGTTGTGCTGGTTCGGCCGGCACTGCTCCCAGAGATGGAGCGAAATGGCCCTACTCCCTGGAGGAGAAAGTTCCCAGCAGCTCCTGCTGTTGGTGGCTATAGGCTGCTTCTAGAAGCAGAAGCCTTGTACCTATGTACCCCAGCTGCTGGGGAACATGGATAGGAGGGGCAGTGCCCCTCCTCTTCTTGTGGGTTTCCTACGTGGGCAGCTCATTGGCCCGTGTGAAAATAATGCTACATTGGCACTTGGACCGACCCAGCTGGACTCTGTGTTTTTCCGTTCCTCTGTGAGTGACAGAATAGCCATCCTAAATATTTGGCAGGTGATATTTCACTGCGTGTTAATTTATGATGCCTAAGGTGATGAGAATGTTTTGGCAGGGTCTCTGAGGTTGCAAGAGCCGGCACATAGGTGTCACAGCATGGCTGTAATTACACCTGTCTGTGCCCCAGCCTGCACCTTCCCTCTCCAGGAATGGGTGCCTGGCTGATTTAAGAACTGTAAGCCCAAGTCACGGTGGTTTATCTGCTCTTGTGAAGAAATGCCCAGAAGCCGCAGCGGCTGTCCAGCGCCGCGTGTCTCTATTTTTCCCCTGCTCCGCCAGCCGAGGTCCACGGCTGGATAGGCATTGCTGTGTAAGGTTGCTTGCAAAGGACAAATTAAAAATGCAATGGTGCCTGCTTGCCCAGCTGGCTGCCCACACTAAGCCTCTGGCCAAGCTGCCCTGCTGAAATGAGGCTAATGATGCGAAAAAGTAACAGTGGATTTCATGGAGCTTGAACCCCTTTCCCGATAGTGCCTGCCTGAGAATCTGGAAGCCACACAAGTAGGAGCAGCTGAGCAAGGCTGCCTGGTTCTCTCCTCCGTTCGGGAGACTCAGACTTAAGGCCTTACACCGAAGGATGTGCTTGTGCCTTCTTCTGTTGCTATGGAGACAGTTGCCGATGCCTTGGAAATCTCTAAGTGCTCGACATACTTTGATGTGGGCAGTTTGGGTGCAGAAAGCAGCTGCTCTGTTGTTGCGGAAGGCCAACCTGAGCGCAGGGAATGGGGTCGGAGTTTGAGCACGGCACACAGCGTCCCGCAGGGTTAGAGTTAGCCTGCTGGGGGTTCCTGCCTCAGTTCTCCGGCTAGTATCCCCGGGACCAGGCAGGGAGCAGGGATGACAGCTCCCCCAAGTGGCATTGTAGGGGAGCTAGTGAAGGCTACCTATTGCTGATCCCAGCAGAAAAGGGCTAATCGGCAAGCCCCCTCCGGCAGGACTGGCAGACACAGGCACAAGGAGTGAGCCATCAGCATGGGGGTCCCATGCCAAGCAGGGATAGAACAGGCCTGATTCTACTTGGAAACAGACTCAATCAGAAGGGGTCTCCAGGGCCATCTAGTCTGACCTTGCTCCAGCCGGCTCCGCTCATGACAAGCCTACCATGCGCCTGTCCAGCCTGTCCTTGAACACCCTCACCGATGGGGCCTCAGCGACCTCCCATGGAAGCCCATTCCACTCCCTCAGGGTTCCTGACTGTCAGGAAGTGCTTCCTGGCATCCAAATGGAGCCTTTGTTCCCTGAGCTTTGCTCCGTTGGAGCACACCCTGCCCTCCTCGGCAGGGGAAAAATACTTCACCCGAAAATATGATTCATCCCATTCTCACTTACTAGCTGCACAAGGAGACCCTGAATACAGCTTGTCTTTCCACTGCTGTACCTCCTTACAACCACAAAGAAGACCCCCAGTGGAGACTTGGAAGCCAGAGGGGCTTAGTGTGTTGTGTGAACCCAGTCTTTGAGTTCAGGTGAATGACAATCTGATTGCAAAATTCCTGAAATCTCTGGTGGAGGATTAAGCTAGTATTTTTCCATCACAATTTTTCTTTTGTCTCTTACACAACTGGCACCATTTGCCACATTTTATGACAAGGAAAAGTAGATTCTGTGCCCCCAAATGTCCCATCTGGATGCCAGATTTTACAAAGGATCACAGATACTATGTTTGTATACTGAATCCCTGGGATAAATTCCACCCTAGGGTAAGAAGAGGAAGAAAGGGTGAAACCGAAGAAAGTAGTGTGGTGGTGTAGAAAGCAAACACACTTAAAAACTAAACCGATTGCACGTTATAAAATACAAAGATATATTGGAAAATAGTAACAAGACGAATACACTATTAAGTAATATTTTGAAAGAACAGCAAGCTACGGTGTCGCAGCTTTGCCGATGTTCTGTGGTTGCTACTGGCAAGAAAGATACAGATGAGTAAAGGGCAAGGACAGCAAAATAGGGCAGCTCCTGAACAAAATGCAAGAAATTAGATGCACCGCAGAGCTCTCTTTCACTGGCAGCGAAGGGACCGCCTGCTTCTTGGCCATTGAACAGAATCCCAAATCCGTAATCTCAGGCAACTATCTCAGCTGGATGGACAGGCAGGAAACAGATCTCCAGATGTTTTGGGGTTCATGTCCCAGCATTGCTGAGCATTAGCTCAGCTGGACTGGGGTCCCGAGAGTCAATGTGCCAAACATCTGGCTATATACCTTCTGCCGAGCCCTGTTCTAGGCCAGCCAAGCAAGGCTGATGATCTGGTCCGGCTCCAGCGATGCTCCATGATGGGACAGTAAAAAGTAACTCTAGCAGTGTCCAATCCGGCCTTTCTGCTCAGCAGTGTCATTTGCTGTTATTTAAAAAATGCAGTGGATGGGTTTTGGCGCTTGGTGTTGCTTGGCTCACAAACATAGGAGATCAAAGTGAGTCATAGTAATTAAAACTTTTTAAAAATCTATGCACTAATATATATTGACTTGCATCTTGTGCCCTTTAACGCTTCCTATTTTTGTGTAAATGATTAAAGCCAGATGCCACTTTAATTTTTTCCTCCATGCAAAAAATATCCAGTGAAAAATCATCATTTGATTTATTAAACCATCTATGAATGTCACGCTTAACAGCTCCCATCACTCGTTCTCACACTCATCAGGAAGTGGGTGTGGAAAAGGACAGATGTGCACAACTTGTGACCCACTAAGTGAAATGCAACTACCGCACCCAGCCACCTATCTTATATGTTAGTACTTCAGGGACTTATTTATTTATTAGTTTTAAATCCCACCTTTTTATCTTTAAAAAAACCCCTCAACATGGATAACATCATTCTCTTGCTGCTCTCAAACTTATCCCTGAACAACAACCCTGCGAGGTAGGTTGGGCTGAGAATATGTGCCTGCCCCAAAGTCACCCAGTTGGCTCCCTGGCTGAGCGGGGACTCGAACCCGGATTGCCTGAGTCCCAGTCCCGTGCTCTTAACCCCGACACCACACTGGCTTCCTCTAACTGTGGGGTGGGGAATGGGCTTGGCAAACGCCTGGCAAGCCATAATGCATGTAAGGTGCATAAGACGATGTGAGAATGACCCGGCATTGTGGGAATTTAGGCCACCTGCCAGGAATGATCCAAAGCACAACAGGAGCGTGCTAATGGTGCAGGGGGGAGGGAGGTGCAACAGCTCTGGGTTCAAGTGAAGGGAAACCCGGCTTCACAGCTTCTTGCTTTCTCCCTTGTCCCTGACAGGATGTGTCCTTCTGTTTCTGCAGCAGACACGCCGTACGGAGCAGGGAGCAGGGCTGTTGTAGTTTTGCTCAGTCCGCGTGGAGTGGGTTAGAGAGACGCTTTGGATTTCAAATCCCAGGATGTCAGAGTACTGGCCCACTGGGGAATGAAGAGGAGAAAAGGCGTGGGGAAGGGGGATAAAAAGCAAGCCAGGAAGAAATGAATGAATGGCTGATGTGCACAGGAAAATACGTATATGTTTCCCATGTGGCCGAGGGAAGCTTGTAGATGAAGGAACTGCGGTGCCCTCTCCCGACTTCTCTGTGAGTGCATTTGGTGGTTTTGTGAGGGTTGCAGGCCATACTGTACAGCGAGGAAAAATCATGTGCTGTTTGCCCAGCAAGCTAAAACATTTTGGGAGGGCCCCGGCTCAGGGTCTGGCATCAGCAGGCAGAGCTGGCAAAAGCCCAGGGAGTCGTCACCAGTCAGGGTGGGAATTCTGGATGAGGTGGATCTGCGGTCTTACCTGACAGTCACCTTGCTCTTCTCTGTGAATATTTCTGCTCTGCTCAGCAGGCTGTTTTCCCAGCAACCTGCAGGCAGAGAGTTCACCAGATGCTGCTTGGAG